TGATGTCGGAAGAGTATATATATATAAATAAAATAGATTTTATATAAATGAATCTATTATTACAAAATTTTCCTAAACTTATTCATTTATCTCAGGATGATTATTTTTATGACTAGAAAAAATAGAATTCAGAAGTTGTAAAAATATCAATCAAGGAAAGGTAAGTATTTTTACACCTGCTGTCTCTTAGAAAGCACTCTGTTCCAAGAGATTTCAATTCATTCAAGGTCAAAAAGTTGTCATTCACAAGGAAAAGATAGAAGTATGTGCAACTCACAAACACTGTCTTTTCTTTTTTCCTGCTTAAGTAATTAATAATAAAATTTGTATGCTAACTTAAAACAGGCCAATTTTTCAAGAAAAATTTCATACTTTTGGTTAAAAATTTTTAAGTTGAGATTTGTTTGATGACTTTGAAAATAAAATTGCCATTTAAAGATATTTAAAATGATACAGAAAACTTTATCTGTATTAAATAACATAATTGTTATACTTATGGCATTAAGTCTATTTAACAAAGGAGAAAAAATTATTTTCATGACAAAATGAGTACAAAAGTTAAAAATTTTCAATATAAAGTAACAATAGTGAGAAAAAAAAGAAAAAGTAAGAGAAAGAAATGGGTAGAAGGAAAAAAAAATTTTACAATCTCCAAAAATATATGAGACAAAAATAGTTTTTAAAGAAAAATTTTAAATTTATAAAGATAATTGTTAAGAAATTTCCAGATAAAGGCTGTGATTGAAACTTTCAGAAGTTGTAAAATTATTTTAATGCAACATTTTCCAGCCTACCTGACATTTTCCAGAATTTTTAGAAATTGATAAAAACTTTCTAACTTTAATCTGTTCATGAAAAACAAAAAGCTGAGTACACGTAAAATTGAATAAATGCTTCATAGCTTGAAATAAATATTTATCTTTTAATAAAGTCTAAATATTTGCACTACAATATGTCTCCAAAAAAAAAATAATAATAATTAACTTCCACAAATAAACTTATTATGCATAAACATGAACAAAACAATTTCTGCCTTTCAAAATGTAACTGTAGATAGCAAAAATATCTTTCTCGTAGTAATGCAATGATGCGATTCACTGCAGCTAATTCAACTATTTCTTACAAATGAAATTAATATCTCAATTCCAAAAAAGAAATAACATGCCCATAAGAATTATCAAATTTCAACATATTGACTTTTAATACAAGATTGAAGCTTCAAAATAGTCGTAAAAACCTTACTTCTTTCAAAAGCCATGGATTTTCATCTACAACTTGTTGCCATTCAGAATTTTCATTTATCACAGCATATTGACTTTTTACCGCACAACTTGTAGATAAAAATTTGTTCAATAAGCCTTTACCAGTAGCTTCACTCACAGCTTTAGCAGACATTGCTTATTATCTAAAATATATTTAAAAAAATCCTTATTAAATAAGCAGAAAACAACACATATAAATTCTGAACAGATGAAAGAAAACACAAAAAGTGAAAGTAAAATTAATATAAAAATCAACGAGGGCAGGATAGGCTTGATTTAAACCACTTGATTATTTTTTAAAAAAAGTCATTTACCTAAATCACTTTTTTTTCCTTTCAGTAATCATTGAATAAGTCAATATTTTTTAAATTATTAATTTACTCCTAACAACATTAAAAGCATTTTATTTTGTGATTTTTTTTCAAAGTTGGATTTTATTGACATTGAAGCTATTATCAAGGCAGGAAATGTTATGTATATTAGTATTCAATGTTCAAAATTATTTCGTCATTTAAGCATTTATATTTGATGCCTAAATGATGAAATTTTGTCTTTATCTTTGCAAATTTACAAGAGAGTTCAGTGCTGAACTTGAACATAATAATTATGATTTTAATTTTTTAAAGATAAGTTATAGAAATAATAGTAACCATTTCATTCAGAAATTATTTTAGTTATATTTTTTTTTTATATAATATCAAACATTTTTAATACTTAATACATTTTATCTGAGTTTTGATATGTAAATATAAAAATCAAAAAAATCTGATATAAATTAAATAAAAAAAAGACCTTTTTATTTATTTATTTTTTGAGAAAAATGATTTTTCTCAACTCAACTTTTCTTAATGCTTCTACCAGGGTTGGAGTTTTTGCCGGCAAAAAGGGGTTTTTGNATTAACGCGAGGATTTTTGAATTTAAGAAGAAGAAAAAAGTTTCCCTATTCTGTGAAATAATGAAAAAATTGATATAAAAGTGCCAATAAAAAATTCTTAACTGATTTTAACACAGAAAGAACTGAAGAATTCTCCTACTTAATGTGGCACACATGAAACAAATGTTTGTCCAATTAATTTCTTAAAAAATTTTTCAAGTTATGTAAAAAATCTTGGCAAAGTAATATCTGAGAATGTTAAAAAATTTCTATATGTAAGATCAGGGATAATTTTATACTACATAACCTTAATATTTATGCAGTTGAAGTTATGTAAGTGAGCCCAACTCAAAAATCCTGAAGATTTTTCGAGTAAAATCATTTAATGATGCATTTCAAAAAATTAACGTCTTTATAAATTTAAATCAATGATATTTTCGAAACATGAAATTCAAAATAAATTATATACAGCATAATTTAAATGAATAATTATGTATAAGTTTACTTTTATCTCTAATCATATTTATTATTCTACTAGAAAAAAATATTTACAAATGAAAGAGATGCCAAGTATTTCTAATATTTTTAAATAAAATATACAAGAATTTGTACACATAAATGTGATCGATGATTTCTCGAAACTTCTGGATTGCGGTTAGCGAAAAATCAGGGATTTTTTCCGGAGCACAATCATCTCTGGTATGTAGAGATACATAAAATTAACTTACGCAGCCACAAACACTCAGAAAAAAATTACCTCACTTTACTAGGCTAATTTTGTTGAATTTTCCCACTTTTGGCAACTGGTGCGCTTGGTTTTATCTTAGTGCAACCAGCCCAGTGGGTTTAGACTCTAGCATTTGGCAAATCATCGAGGGTCTAGAGTAGTGATTAAATTCCCACACTGAACATTCTGTGAAAATCTTGTTGGAGAAAAATTAACCTTAAAAACCTCATTCATAAAATATGCCCAAAAGGGGCTATGAGTTATATTAATCGGATGGGTCCCTTTTCATGAATTTTCTTTTCATTTCTTGACGGTCATCAACAAAATTTGGAAACTGAACAACAAAGTACGTTAAGATTCCCAAATTTTTAAATGGGAGAAACAAAAATATTTTTCAAACTCTGGCCGAACACTAATGAAAGCGTAGGAGAAATTAATATCATCACAAATAAGTTTTTGTCAAATAAGACAAGAATGCACCCTTTTTTGTAAAAAATTGCTTTCATTCCCAAATAAACTAGTTTTTGATGATTTTAGTCCATCATTTGTTCTTAACAACCTAAATAATACATTTTTGCTCTCTAGAATTAACATGAGGGGGCCACGAGATGACAAAATGTTTGCAGATGAATATTTTGGTAAACATTTCTACATCTGTTTAGGTAACTTAAGATAATAAATTTTATTACCCTTTCCAAACACAAAAGAGATCGAATAACACCAGCAATTTCCCAACATGAAAGAAAGACTTCTGACTACAATTACAATTTGTAATTCAAAGATAACACTCAAAATAGTATAGAAATTTATTTATCCTTAAACAGGGTGCATAGCCATATTATTCAACAAAAAAATAAACACCTTTTAAGCACTCCAATAAAATTTTTAAGCACTTTAAAAAAAATCATAATTAAGTAGGAATTGGAAAGCTTTTGACAATAGACGGTTTTATCTGGTTTTAACCGTCATGTCAACAAAAAAAAGTTTTGGCATTGTTTTTGACAATTGTCAAAATTTTTGAATCATAATTGAATGGAGTTTTCATACGCTACGGACTGAGGATACGCCGAAATAGATTGGGGTTAAATTAATTGTGAAAACATTGAATGGAACAATGTCTTTCTGCATAATTCGTAGCGAAAATCAACATGGTAAGGAAAATTTTCATTTTGGAAAAGAGAAAATTAAACACTTTTAAAAAACATCAAATGAAACAAGCACCATTAAGGGCTTTTAAAAAACAAAAAACGCTACGCACAAAAAACGCTTTTAACAAAAAACGCTTTTTAAAAACGCTACGCACCCTGTTAAAAAGATGTGCTTTTTTTCAACCCAGTGCAAAAAAAAAAATTTATCATTCTCGTTTTCAGAATTTTTTTCAGAAGCCAACTCATAAAAATGTAGACAAAAGTCATTCCCAGCCATACAGAATATGTCTGAAATTCAGGAATAATTCAGGTTCTCTGGGAAATTTTTTGGTCTAATTAAAAAAAATTGTTACAAAATTTCTCAACATATTGTTCTACAAGGTCATGGAATGGTCCCCCAATTCATAAAGCTTTAAACTTTTTAAAACAATTCTTAGACAGGTGAAAAACAGAATGTTTCCATCAGCTCAGCATAGAGAGCATCAGCTCAGCATTTAATAAGCCTTTACTTTAAATTTGGGTGTGGAGATAGTAATTATCCACAATGTCAACCTTCATCTACGTTAAGTTACCATAACATAGAATCAAGTTAATGTGTCTTGTATACTAGTGAATTGGTATTGTAGTGGTAGACGCACTACAGCACTCCCACACCAGAATTATATCGGTGATAGAATTCAATGAACGGATAACACTAGTTGATTCATTGCTGCTTTTCGTGAAAAGCTGCATTAAGATTATCGTACTTTTAAATGCTGACCCTGAGAGCAGTATCAAGCTCACGATCGTGGCTTCTCCTGTGTTAGTCATCAGCAGTAGAGTGTATACAAGTCGGCGTTGTGTGTGACCGAAACCGAGTAGCAATAGCACGAGGTGGTAGATAATGTCGCAATTACAAGTAGCAAGTCAACTGTTCAATGAAGATCAATGAAATAGGTGTGTTCAAATCGAAGTGGGTGTTTCTGTCAAGGTAGGCGTGTACACATCAGACCCGAAGGCCACCAGTGTGAGGGTAGTCATACCGAACACGTCAACCTTCATTTATGAAAAGGTACCCCAACATAGAATCGAGTTAATACGTTTTATACATTTGGGAATTGGAATTGTATCTTTGTAGTGGTAGACACACTACACTGAGAATGTTTTTTTTTTTCTTAACCAAAATAAATTAGACTACTTTACCTTTTGACTGTTGTTAAATCTTAATGCTAAATTAAAAATGTAGTATGTGGACAAATATGGCATAAAAAAGATGAAAAATCAATTTAAATATTAAAATTTATATTTTTAAGGTTTATTTTAGCATTGGATTTTTTATATTTCCCTATGCCATGACAACTTGCTATCAAAAAAGAAATAGAATATTTTCTGTTGTGTTAACGCTATAGAGAAACACAAAAACTTTACATATTAGTAACTTGTTTATTTACTAGTTTGAATTTAAGTTTATACATGAGAGACCTTAAACTTAGTTTCATAACTTATTACAACACAATTTGATTTCAACACATGTACAAATTTATTCAACAATTGTGAATCAAATGAAGTTTCTTTTTCTTTTGTTAAAGAAAAAACTGTAGTGTATCTACCACTACAAAAATGTAATTCTAATTCACTAGTATGTATAAGTAAGACATGTTAACTCTAGTCACAAATTTATAGGAAACTCAAAGAAATTAAATTTATTTATTGTTATTGTTTGGATAATACCAAATATAGTAAGTTTAATTTTAAAAAAAACTAATTCTAGTTTAATAAATGAATTTAAGCTTCTAATTTATTGAGCTAATTCATAAATTTTAAGCAGATAAGTAAAAAAAAGTATAACTCCCAAGTATGAATTAAAATTTCATTTTGATCCAAAATAATAGAATATAGATCAACATCATACCATACTTCAATGAAAGCAATAAACAATGTAATATTTTTATTTGCTGAAGCTGTAAACAATTTACTAACAAATTAGAAAGTAAAAAAAAAAATCAACATAAAATTTTTGAGCCATGCCAAATAAATGAATAAGAAAAAAGTATGAAATACTTGTTAAAAAGCTTCAGACTTACAAAAGACTTAAATAATATTTGTATCTCAAACTTATTAGCAAATAATAAGAACAAGGAAGTAAAAAAAAAATCTTACTTTAGTATAACACAAAATTGTAAGACATACCAAATAAATGGATAGAAATAGTACGTACAAAATGTTTGTTTAAAAGACTAAATGTAATAACTTATTTTAATGGCAATTTATAAACAATTTAACGTTCAACTGTTGTAAGAAAGACAAAGTGTTTTAATGGGAATCAAAAGCTAAATTGCCAGGACAAGTCAAAAAGAATGAAAAAAATAACTTTAAAAATAAATTCAATCAAAAATTTTTAAAAAATGTTGTCCTCTTCATGACTTTTAGGATAAATAAAAAAGATTTTTTTTAAAGTAGGACAGAAAAATACTCAGTGACAATATTTTCTTTATACAATTTAACGACAATTACAGGATAACAAATAAAAAAGATGACAAAAAATAATATTAGATTCAACAACACTAACTAGCTGAGACAGGTCATTAAAAAATTATATATTATGAAATGCAGATAGTTTAAAAGAGTTTTACATACTTTCAAGATATCTCCTGTCAATATATTTTAATTATCTAAGTAAATTTCAAAGGAGAAATCATAGCCGAACTGGCTTAACTAAATTGTATCCACAATGTATCAAATTAAAGAGCAGCAAGATTTACTAGCGGACGAAACTGCATGGGGATAAGCAAATAATGAGAGTTTGATTTCATCACATCGAAAGATACCGATCACCTCACCTACGTCGAAGCAAGTTCGGAAAATGCAAAGAAACAAAATCGTAGAATTGATACTTACGGAAGTAAGAATCTTTAAAATAGTGAAGAGAGTTTCGATTCGCGATTATTTTAATGAATTAAATTCTGAAAGTTACCGCATATCGTCACACGTGTCAAGCGAATGAACTGATGCTGTATTCGTGACCTGGAACGATTCTTTATAAGAGGATATCTTCTTATCCGGATTTCGAAAAGCGAAACAAGTAAAAAATAAAAAACACCGTATGCCGACTTGCTACTGTCACAACGCTATCGCCATCTATTGACAGAAAATTAAAGTTTATTTATGAGAAATTTAGTTGACTAAAAGAACTTTAGTGAGTCGTTAATTAAAATAAATTTATTTATTGAACTCATTGTCTTGTAGAGTATAGAAACTGGTATCGTTAAGAACGTGTTGAAACTTGCAGATGAAATATCAGATAATGTCCCCTGTCCAGGGCCGAGGAGAAGGTCCTGACCAGTCCCCACTACCCTCTCTTTTAATGACCTAAGAATGTCAAACTTGTTTTCCTCTGAGGGTCTAATTAAATAATTTTCGAGTGCATCGTGAGCCGAATTGCTAAATAAAATAAAGTAAAAATAAATTACAATGTAAGCCGTCGCACAAAGAAAATGTGGAAAAATTAACTGATTAAACAAAATTTGAAGAGTTCTTTTTTATTTATTTGTTAATAAATTTATTTCTTACCTTTAAAAAAAACATTTAGAGCTTTAAAAATATATATTTTTTTTTAAAAATTTAATCTTTTTTTTATGAAAATAAAAAATTTGTTTCGAGATATTATAAGTTTAAAAATTACAATAAAATTTTTAAAAAATTGCACATAACTAAAAACGTAGCACGGGCTATAAACAAGAAATTTGATCCAATTTGTTTTTATCACCAAGAAAACTTAAAAAGGCAACCAAAATCTATTTTAAGTTCCAAATAAAAATTCACAAATTAAACCAAACTAAAAATTAAACCAAAGAAAAAATTAAACCAAGCGAATTTTTTTAAGAAATCTTTTTAACAATATTTTTTTTTATTTATATTTTTTATATAAATATATATTTTTTTTTAATTTAGAAAAAATTAAATTTTCACTCAATTTTGAGTTTAATTGCTAAAGTGAATTCGCATCAAATCAAACAAACATAAATATTTAATTTTAAAATGTTTAGAAATCATTGCATTCCTGAAGAAAAAAAATATCAGTCTAAAATAAAATAATGCGAGCAAGTTTTATGCTAAGTCATAATGTCTTTAAAACTGCTTGATCACCACCACTTTTCAAAATTAGTTGAAGTAAGAATTACACAGCATTATGGGACAGCAATTTCTAAACATGGTTATGGATGATATGCGCATTAAAAGATGTTTTAATAATTCCAAAGTTTGACAAATCACAAAAATAATTCATATCTTTTTATTCTTTTTTTGATTTGTTATACTATTTTGCTTATTTAATAGTATTACTTTAATTAACTTCCATAGTTTTTCTAGTAATTTTATTATTTGAGGATTACAACTGGTTTCTCATCTTTCTTTTTTTCTTAAATTATGCATAATTTAAAAATGCCTTATTTGAGATTTTAGGGTAATCAAAATGTGTTTAAATTTGATAAAATTATTGCATATAGGGGGCGAGATGTTATCGGCTATGTCAACCCTTCATCTATGAAAAGGTACTCCACCATAGAATCGAGTTAACATGTCTTATATACTAGGGAATTGGAATTTTGTAGAGGTAGACACCTTACCCATTTCTTAAAAATGATTTATTTAATGTATGTAAAGTTTTTAAGCTCTTTTTAAACACTATGGCATATTATAGGGGTTTAAGAAATTTTTGTGCCCGAAAGTCCTGCATGCTATTAAGACTGCCCTGCGTTATTCTAAATAATAATAATAAAAACAATCTAAATAATAATAATAAAAACAATTTAGGAAACAAACAAAATTAAATTTGTAATAATAACAGTACGGGTAAATACCTTTAAATTAGGGTTTCAAAAATATTTATAGGGAAACGATGCAGTTACGACTTTTATCTATTTTATGCAGATGACAACCAAACCAATATGATGATTAATGTGGGAAAACTGGATTCTACCATGTGATTTTTCGGTCAATAAATATGTACCAACAGCAATGGAAAACTGCGAGACCATCATTAAATTTTTAGATATAGTAAGATTATGAATTAATTAAAACTACAAAATCGAAATGTGCATTTAAAATTGAAATTTAATTTAATATTGAGTGATAAAATTCCGTTGAAATGTGAAGAAATACAGAATAAATATGAAATCAAAAAATTTTTGTTCGGTTTTTGCGCGTCGCAGTTGACAAGCATTCATTTATTTTCTTTATCGCCCTTGACCTTGCTACGTAATGAAGAAATACTGAAATCGATTTCTTTTTCATGGTTTGATAACTTTAAAAAAAATTGATCAGGAAGTTGACTAGATCACTGGACTGAGAAGTTAAGAAGTCGAAATTACAAAATATACTAACAGAAAAAGGGTAGCGAGAACGGAGCCAAATTTCTCTACATAATATCTACCACAAGTGGCGTAATTTTCATATATGTTTGAGAGGGGTTATCTCCATCTATTGTTGTTGCTGTCATCCATTGAGACAAATTACGCTTGTTTCTATGTGGCGCCATCTATGGCCGAGAATTCGACTTCTGCCACACCCATACGTCACACCCGTTTATAGGGCTGACCCATTCATACATCCACAGATTGTAATTTTGACCTGAACCAGAGAATGATTCATCTCCAATGAAGTACCCCAAGAGGCATAATTTGTTATGGGAACAAGGAGGACTTTGTGACCCGACAGATTTAACATGCACCAGTCACCATTTTCTACAAGGGGAGTTTACGGCCGGTTGGATTCAAACTCCCGTTCTCTCGCACGAGAGTCCAGAGTCCTGCCAAGCAGGATATCCCGGTNGTCACACCCGTTTATAGGGCTGACCCATTCATACATCCACAGATTGTAATTTTGACCTGAACCAGAGAATGATTCATCTCCAATGAAGTACCCCAAGAGGTATAATTTGTTATGGGAACAAGGAGGACTTTGTGACCCGACAGCTTTAACATGCACCAGTCACCATTTTCTACAAGGGGAGTTTACGACCGGTTGGATTCAAACTCCAGTTCTCTCGCGCGAGAGTCCAGAGTCCTGCCAAGCAGGATATCCCGGCCCTATATATATATATATATATATATATATTGGGAGTACAAATTAGTTCTGTCAGTTTTTTTTTGTGGTCAAAAATACATTTATTTCAGAACAAAATGAATGAACAGATTAATCAAAGTATTGTCCTTCGCTGGTTACTACTTTTACCCTCCTCTCGGGCAATTTTCGAATTCCATCTCGAAAAAATGTCTCGTGTTTTGAGGCGATCCAAGTTAGGAGCCAATTTTCGATTTCTGCGGAAGAAGTGAACCGGTTACCTGCCAAATCGTGCTGCATCCGTCAGAGCAACCAGTAATCAGAAGGAGCAATGTCCGACGAATACGGCGGGTGAGGTAAAAATATCCCACTTGAGCATTTCCAAACAATTTTTTACTACTTTTGCGACATGAGGCCGACCATTATAATGCAGAAGAATAACTTTGTCATGTCTTTGCTCGAATTCGGCCGTTTTTCTCGTAATTCACAGCTCAAACAAATCAACTATAGCCTATACCGATCGCTCGTAATGGAATCGCCAGGTTGTAGCACCATTCAACACCATTCCCCATTCTTGAAACGTCGAAACCATTCCCTACGTCAGTGTTTCCCAAAGTGTGGTACGCGTACCCCCAGGGGTACGGGAACAGTTTAGCGGGGGTACGCATTCTTATGCGAATATCTTACAACAAAAGAACATTTCAAAAAAAATTTATTTAAAAACGAAGCTCACCATGAAAATTTATAATTAAGTATTTTTCTATTGGCTATTTTTTGCTGAGTTAACAGTTAATAATTAGTATTGTCAAAAGTCAGTAGTAATTTTTTTATAGTAAAAAATACATTAATTTTTTTATTAGGGTACACAGCGTTACGAAAAATTTAGAAAGGGTACACAAAAATCATAAGTTTGGGATCATAAGCTGCCCTACGTGATTTAACAGTTGGAGCATTGTCAAAATAAACTTCCACAAGCATTCGATGAGCTTCAACTGCACTTTTCTTCCAATTAAAACAGAAATATAAAACTTCCCGCAAATGCTGTTTAGTCACCACAAAATTTGAAATATTCAACTAAGTAAAAAACAGGGCTTTTGTATGAAACTCAAAGTGTTATAATGTGAATATTATTAACAGATGTCTAACCTCCCTGAAACCACCGAGACCAGCTGTCACTATGAAACCTTCATAACAGCCAGAGCCGTCTTTTGAAACGGACCGAACTAATTTATACTCCCATTATGTATGCATGAAACATAAAAAAGCTACAATTAATCTTTTTATGTTATTTCTTTTCGGTAAATCCTTTTATTTTAATTTATTATTCAAATCGAAACACTTTCTCACACTTTTAAATTCATATCCTGTCCTTAAATCTATTTTTGGCTCAATCATGCATTCATTAAAAGAAAAACATTTTTCCCTTTACTCTTTTGTGGGAATCGCGCGACCTATTTAAAAAATCAATTGTAATTACTAATTAATACAATTGTAATTGCCTTACTCTTTTCCTAAATAGAGACATTTTAATGAATTTTCTTTGCAAGATTTTCCCTAACATATAGGCTGAAGACCGTTGAAATCGTGGCTTTTTCTCTCTGGTCATTCATCTAAAAATGATTAAATAAAATTGAATTGCTCATTCTTCAAATCTTGTGCCTGTTTTCCTGCTCGGACGACTGCCTTCATTACATATATATATATATATATATNTTATTTTTTTAATTATTATTCCCCCCCTTTTTTTCATATGTCTATAAATTTTCCTTGTTTTATTATTCATTTTGAACTTATATATATATATATTCTAAACGTTTTTATGTCTAT